CTACTCTTACGTGATAAAATTCTATCAGCATCATCAATCAAATCATGGTTATGGTTGGGACAAAAATAGTATAATCTATATGATGATTGAGATCCCTCTATGTATTTAAACCTAACAGATGCTTTACAATCTGTAACTTTAAAGTTTGTATTTCGTACTTGTCTACGATGTCCATCCATTTCAACAGAGTCAACCGACCTCTTTTTTGGTTTTCCATGCTTATGACAAACAACATAGTTTAGTTTGACTATACCACCCTTCCTTATCTTCTGGGTTGATAGTCGAATATCAAACCCGGCAATGTCGGCATACCTTCGATACATTTCAATTCCATCCTCCAAAGATGCAAAGATTGATCCAACAACCAGTTGAAATTCACTTGGAACAGATGGGATACAAACTCCATCACAGCAAGGACTTCCAATCACTCATTGAGCTGGTAACACAAAATGATCTATGAAACAATCACCAATAGTTATAAATAAAGAAAACAATATACATATAAACCAGCTTAACAAAGTCTCATATGACATAATATAACTAAACACAATTACTATTAAATTAAATTCAAAACAAAATCAACCTCATCAAGAAACATTACAGTAACATACAATTGTAGCTATGAGATGTTTATCACATGTGATAAACATCCAAAATTCTCACTTACATAGATATCACAATTATTATAATTGATTTGGTGTTACAAGTTGAAGGTGATATTAAGCATCTTGATTACAAAAATAGCTATCATTTTTCACTTGCTGATTTACATTATTTACTAGCATCAATCATATGTCTCATATCACATCTATCACACAATTATCACATCTATCACATCATTATCACAACTACTGTGATCACTGGTAAGTCGATGCCATCAACATTTTGGGTGTCAAAAGCAGTTGTTGCTGCATCATTTACATAAATTTAATGGAAAACGAACCAAACAGTATCCACATACATATAAACATCCGGTTTATCACATGTGATAAAACATCAAACTTTTCAATTTAAAAAGTAGCGAACTAAAAAAAATGGGATGTTTATCACATGTGATAAACATCAAAATTTTCAACTACAAAAGTAGAATAACATTAAACTCAAATCAACATATACCAAAAACAATAAATGGACAAAAAATGTTTACATTCACAAGTCCTTTTACTTTTTATCACATGTGATAAAAACCCCAAAAAACCATTCATAAAAATTGATGACATATTTTAATGTTATCACATCGTACCTTCTTCGTCGTTATCAGAACTACTTTCATAAAAGTTGTCTTCAAGAAAACAATCTTGAGAAAAGCCCACATAATCGTCGTTTGAATAACTTGATCCTGAACAAACTTCATTACCAACAACATTCAAGTCGTCCATTTTAGATAGACAAAAATATAGACACTACCGAAATGAAGAAAAGATGTTAACCCATCGACTATGTGTAGATTATGATGAACGAGAAAGAAAATACGTTTGAACGAAGGAGACGCATGAAGGAGAAGAAGACGTGATCGAAGGAGAAGAAGAYGTGAAACGTGAAGATAAACATGATTAATTAAAATAAAATAAAAATTATAAAAATTACTTAATTACATTACTGCCCTTATTAAATTATTTATATATAATAAAAGTTAATTTATTAATTAAAAAAGTTTGTGGTTATTGA